GGACGACCCTCGGAGTTTGCCTGCCGCCTTGAACAGACGAAACGCAGTGTTTGAATGTCCTGTCTAATCATTGTCACTGTGCCGTCCCCTGGATTGGTTTTGGTAGATAGACACTAATATTATTAGGGGTCACCGTTTTCCTATTTTGCATGCCTTGTGGTTTTTTTATTGGCTGCAGAGCCCCTCAAATTTTACACTGTTGACTGCTGGATACTCCTGTATCCTATAAATATTCTTGAGCTCTGCTCTGGGGTATGTTAAGTTATTTGGAAATAATTTTTACCCCTGCACATCTTGATTTTAAGCTTTTAGGTGAGATTAGAGCGGCTTTTAGGTCTCAGTCCAATTCGGCACCGTTTCTGAGGCCAACACTTTGGAGTGCTTTACTTAATGCCCATAAATTAGGACATTTTCTTTCTGGCTGGTTGCAACAGGAACTGTTCCCAGCCCTGTGTGTGCTCTGAGGTTTGTTCTGTCTAATCCTTTCGAGTGGTTCTTTGGCTCAGATGGTTTCCTCAGATGCACACACCAGGACTCAGATGAAGACCACAGGACTCCCTGCAGATCCACGGCGTTGCCCCGTGCAGCTCTGGTCCAGGACTCTGACCTGTATCCTCCTGTCACTTCTGCTCCCTTGAACCCCAAGTCCATCCCCTCAACTTGAGGGGCTGCTGGGCTCCACCTGGACACCCTCTCCTAGCCACAGCCTGGAAACTGTCTTCAAGAAGAAGCTGGAGTATTTGAGGGGCTCACCTCATTGGTTTCTATCTCAGAGTTCACTGTTTTTCATTGCTTGGTGTTCAAAAGTCTTGAAAACCATGGTTTTATCTATTTTGTCCAATTTTTACTTGTTTCTGTGTGCACGTGGAGGGGTGTGGGGGAGAATCCAGCTGCTGTCGCTCCTGTCTGGCTAGAAGCCAAAGTCTAGACTTCTCATTACATGTAAATAAGTGCCTTTTATTTAAGCCACTTCAACTTAGATTTTCTGTCGTGTACAATAGGAAAAGTGCCCTGGCAAATACAGCCATCCAGGGAGCACAGTCTTGTTTCAATTTTGCTCAAGTGTCTTAAATTATGTCCATTGAAGACGCTCACGCTCACCAGCAATCTTTTTGGAAAGCCAGTACTTCTGGTAGGAGGGAGGCCCTGATGCAAATTGTTTCTGACTGCTTTCCCCCTAATCTGCTGGCTGGGGTTAGCCAGACTGAAAACAGCAAGTTAGGTTGGAGGCAAGGAAAAGAAACGGTCAGAAATTTTGGGAGCAAATAGTTGATAGAATGAGGCACCTGGCCTGGGTGGGGAGGGGGGTGAGCCATGTTGTGTGCGTGAACGTTCGTGAGAAATAAAGAGCTGGGAAGGCGACCGACGACTGGGCTCAGTCATATAAACGTTTGGCCCTACGCCGTGTGGGCCAAAACGTACAACAGCGGTAACGCCACGCAGCTCACACAATACCTCCTGACAAGTGCAGCGCCCGCTGACCTCGGCACCACGGCTTGCTCCAGGCAGGACACGGATGGGCGTGTTGTTTTCAGGCTTTCAGGGACCTGGGCCATCATGAGGTGTTTTTTGTGTTTTGCAATTTAAGTTTTCAATTTCCTTTCTTCAGAGCAGTCTTCTTTGGTTATCCCTACTTCCCTCCCTGATTTTCTCCCTACACATCCAATCCCAACCTCACTAGTCAGTATTTCCTGAGCTCCAAACCGGAGCATCACACAGCACGAGTCCTTGAAACGGGGGTTGGGTGGAACACCTCACTCTGAAAACACGAACTGCGATTTTACAGAATCAGCAGCAGCAGGGGGACCACCTGATAAAATGCTTAGTTGAGCATGTGCCAGTGTCTTTGTGTCTTGTGTAAGACCGAATGTCAAAACTATGTGGTAAGTTTTCAAACCCCTAACCTGTTAATGTACAAAGTATATAGCTTTTTTCACTTTGGGGGTAAAAAGCAAATGTTACCCAGAATTGCCCACCAGTTGGTTCCCTCTGCCAGGCTGGCCTCGGTGTCTGGAATAAAGTCTTCTCCTGGACGATCAGGTTTCCCATGTCTGCTGCCTAGAGAATCTCCAACATGACCATCTCACCTGACAGTTCTATAAACTGATTGGTGTTGAATTCGTATAGGAGTAACTAAATAGAAGTACAGCTCATCCCTCCTTGGGAAGGCGTCTTAATTTCTTACCCCGTCCAAACAACACACCTATTTAGAGTAGCCGAGATAAATCAACTTCAGTGTCCCTGGAGGGATAGGTAAGGAAAATGTGGCACATGTACACAATGGAATATTACTCAGCCTTAAAAAAGCAAATGGGAGATGTTGGGCAAAGGTAGTTTACTATGCAGGATAAATGGGTCTGGAGAGCTAATGTACATGCGACTATACATTAATAGTACAGTAATGCCCCCTTAAAGGCAGGGGATATGTCCTAAGACCCCCAGTGGATCCCTGAAACCACGATACACCAAGCCCTATAGGCACGTTTTTTCCTGTAACACAGAATAGTTTAATTTATAAATTGGGCAGCTAGGTTAACAATAACTGGTAATACAATTAGAGTATTGTTACGTGAACGTGGTCCTCGAGGCATCCAATTGTACTTCACTCACCTGTGACATGTGATGAGGTCAACTGAGGTGAGTGATGCTGGCGCTGAGATGTAGCCTTAGGGTGTCGGGGGGTCACTGAGCCACCAAGACTGACCACTGGTAAGTGAACTGGGTGGGTGGCTACTTTATGTTGTATATTTGAAATCTGCCAAGAGAGTAATTTTATGTTCTTGCTACACACACAAAAACAACTGGGGTGATGGGTGTTGAACAGCTTGATTGTGGTAATCATTTCACCTAAACATCGTGCACTGTACACTGTCAAGTGGTTTTGTCAATTGTGCCTGAAGATGGGGGTGAGGCTGGTGGTTCTGAAGGTGGTGCTGGCAGTTTTAGTTGATGTGTTTGTTGGATGAACAGGTTGTCATGACCATGGTGTCCGCCCTCCTTCTCCAGAACACTGCGCTGTGGAGAGTGGACTTGGAGGGCCAGGGCTAGACTGTCACAGCTCCCTGGGCACCCACTCTGACCCTGCATGGCTCCAGCTGTGCTCAGCACCAAATCTGTACACAGGTTTCAAGAAACCCTATCCAAGAGCCCCCACTTCCCTCTCCAGCCACCCTCAATCCAGGTCTCTGCCCACTTGCTGTCCCTTTGCTTCAGGTCAAACCAACGTAATTGTCACTCCACTGGCCTGACACGTCATTTCCTAAGACAGTCATGTTTTACCAAAGAAACCCAAAGTCCCCATTGCCTGCGTTACTTCAGGCACACACGATTAGCCATGAAACCAGTCCTGAAAATCTCTGCTCCTCACTTAGGTTATTTTGACATTGACAAACCCAAGAACCCAGCCTGTAGGAGCTTTTAAATCAAAGTACTGGCCACACATGAGGAAACTGCTTTTCAAAAACAGTAAGATCCTTATTGGATTTTACCAGTGCTCTTTATCTCTGAGTTTTGCTTTATTGTGAAATATTTCAGCAAATGAAGGAAAGACTGCCTACCACAGACATGCTGCAGTTGACTATGCATCTCCTGGGTTTGCGCTAATCCATTACTAGGTCACAGCAACCTGATGTTACCCATGTAAGGCTTCCAATTCGAGGTTTCCATTAGATACCAGGCTTCAAGAAGCTGAGGGCAAATTTCCCCCACTTGTATGAACCAAAGAGAAATCTATCCCCCAAAAGATGCTAGTCTGGGCTATTGAGCATTTCACAAATACTAGAGATTCAGAAAAAATCCAAGCAAAGCAGAAGCAATATATTTTGCAGCAATATTTTCTTCCAATGACTTGTAAATTCTCTCCCACCCCATAGTAAACAAGCAGCTTCCAAAACTTAAGGGTTACATTTAAGATTCAGAGTATCTGCCACACTTGCATTCTACATACAAACACACACCCCCTACATTAAATTATCTGGAAGGTTCCGTTCGGATTTGGGGAAGAAACGCTCTGCATCTGGTTCTGAACTGAATACAGCACAGCATATGCAGCAGTTTGTAAGGGAACTTCCTGATGTTTACTCGACCTTAATAGAAATTAATTCTATCCTTTGTACCTTATTTTCCCATATACTTAAGGGGTCCATTCCTATCTTTTTTGGCAAGAAATTAAGGAAAACTGGACAGGTAAAGAACTTTGGTAAACGGAACTAGAGCAGTACTTATATGAGCGGAACAGCTCATTCTTTAAAGACTCCTAATTCTACAGTACAGTGTCACCGGGATCAAACTTAGGCCAGAGCCAATTCATCTTTAACTGTGGAAGCCGCACAACGGTTACTGAGGAGTCAGATCCACTTCTCCGCTTTGGCGACTGCCTGGCTATTTGTCTATGTTCCTGCACCACTCATGAAAATCACTCAGAAAAAAACCCATTAGAGCTGCAGTCACGTAAGCCCTTCGCTTCTGGCATCTTTAGAGCTCGAGAGGAACTTGAAAAGAGCCGGTAAACATGAAACACCTTCCTAGACTATCAACTCTACACTAACATCTAACAGTAAACAAAAGGCAAATAATGTGTAACTTATACTCATTTTTAACAAGAGAGACTGCCCACAAGCTCCTGCTATTATCTGTAGGGTTCCATCTCACTTTGAAAGCTCTGTACCAGCGTGTGGTTATTTTGTCATAAAATAAAAGCAACTCTAGTTCTTGAAGTATCTCTGTGAAATGCCTAAAGCTCGCAGTACTTTATTCTGGCAGGAGTGTGCACCTTGAACAAGCTCTTCCCCAGGTGGCACAGCCTGGCCAGGAGGCAGGTGGGTAGGTGTTATTTTAGCTTATTTGCATTGACAACATTTACATCTCTTAACTTACCAAATAAATACTACTGACCTGTCATTTCATTTGTGTGAAATGCTTTGAATATACAAAAAATAAAGACAGGAAAAAACTTAAGGTAACAGACTTCAAATTAAGTGATAACAGTAAAGGCCATCTAAACAGTTAAGAGCACACTTTTCCTTGTTAGTAGTTTTAAAATGCTGATTAAACAAGGATCTCACTTGCTTAGATATTTGAAATACAACTTTATTCTGACTCTGAACGAAAGGAGTGGGAATGACAGTAACAAACAAGGTTCTCCACTGAGGGTGTTGCGACTGCAGCATTCTTAGAGCTGAAACTCAACAAGGAAACAACTGCGTTCCAAACAGCTAAATATGTAAGGTCCAAAAAATGAAGGTATTTTAACTGCCACATTCACTCCGAAGCCCATTCATCTCTCAGCATCCCAAAGATCAAGCACAGGTTCTGCTTAGCTATATAATAAAGTGGCAAACACGCGGCACCACTGACATCACAGGACAGTTGCCTATAAAACTAGACTTCTGACGCTGGCTCCAGCTCCCTCACAGGTCGTCGTCCTCATCGGGGAGCGCGGTGGTCTGAGCAACCTGGACAGACAGACAGGACATTGTAACACTCCAGGCGGAGGCCGCCAGGCGCGTGGCACTCTAGCAGCACCCCCTGAAGTGAACACACACACACACACACACACATACCTCTAGATCATGCTCATACTGTGCTGCCAGGGCCGGGTCCATGACGACCTCTGGTGGGGCAAGAGCGGGCATGGCGACAAACTCCAAGTTAGGGTCGCCAATGAGCTTCCTAGCGAGCCAGAGAAAGGGCTTCTCAAAGTTGTAGTTACTTTTGGCAGAAATGTCGTAGTACTGGTAAAAACAGAAGTAAAATTACACTTAGTTATTCCAGGGGATGTTTCAAGCTAAAAGACAAATTTCTTTCAATCCACACATTTATGAATCACTTTAATGGACCTACACTCTAATTTTATCTAAGGGTCATAATTCAATAAGTTTTAAGAAACAAACCTGAAGATTCTTCTTTCGGTGGAAGACAATTGATTTTGCCTTAACTTTCCTGTCCTTAATGTCCACTTTGTTGCCACACAAGACGATGGGGATGTTTTCACACACTCGTACCAGATCTCTATGCCAGTTAGGCACATTCTTGTAAGTAACTCTCGAGGTTACATCAAACATAATAATGGCACATTGGGCTGAAAGATGGATTTACAGTCGTTAGTACATTCTAGGAATTTGCCACATGGGTGAGAAATACTAAGAACTATGAATTCGAACTCAGTCTCAGGCCAAACCCTAGGTCATCCAGATGTCTCTCAATTCCAATGTCTCTTCCAATTTAAGTATCTTAAATCATTGCCATAAACAATAGTTTATAATTCCTCTCTATTTTACATGAAAGTGTGAAAGAACAGTTTCCTATCAAACCTCTCCCTGCGATGTTTCATCATTAGTTCTGTCTCATCCCCAAGAGTATCCAAAGTAGACGAATGATAAATCAGCATCCCAGATAATTCACCCCCCAACACGAGGGTCTAGGACTCCATTATTTAAAAGGCGCTTGAATGGCTGAATATGTTAGGACATTTTATGTCTGTTTTTAAAAAAGTCAGGTGAGTCTATAGATGTTGACCCGTAGAGATAGCTGCAACCCAGTAGGAGAACAAGCCAGAGTATGTACGGCATAACAGATTTTTAGCTAAAGAATTTGTATGTATGAAAGAAAGCTAAAGACATGGAAGGAGCCTCACAACTTCTTGTCAAGAGATTCCAGGAAATGAGTGTTTTCTCTGGTCATCTCTGTTTGGTACAACAATGAACACTTATTTCCTTTATAATTTTTTACACCAAGCATTTTGAGAAAAAAATTAATTTGCAAAATTTAGTGCAATTAAAAAGCAATCAGCTAGTCTTACTCAACATCTGTGAAATAGAGACCCTCGCCTAGCTCCCAGGAGCCAGTCTGAACAGTGGGCAGACTGTTCACTGTCTTTTTAACGGAGTGGGTAAGAAATAGTCACCAGTAACCACCAACATACACCCAAACTAAGCTTCCGAATGTGGAACTATGACAACAGCTTGTCTGTTGACTATTGTTTTTAAGCTACACACTTCATTATGTCAATTTTTCCCAAAAGTGCCTACTGGGCGACTGCATGCAATCAAATGACACAAACTTTTAGAAAAATTTTCTCCCCTCCCAACGCTGGCCAACTCCCTGGAGGCGGCAACTGCACAATTCCCAGTACAGCCGGTACTCAGCTCCTCGTTCACTGGACTGGAACCCAGGGTCAGCAAAGCAGCAGGGAGGCTGAACTACAACCCCCCGGAGCCCCCCGGCCGCGCACCAGGCACCCACCTTGGATGTAGTAGCCGTCTCTCAGTCCCCCGAACTTCTCCTGGCCCGCCGTGTCCCACACGTTGAACTTAATAGGCCCTCTGTTGGTGTGGAACACGAGGGGATGGACCTCGACCCCCAGGGTGGCTGAAACACCAGCAGCTCCGAGTTAGCCACGCGCCCCGCGCCGCGCGCCCCGCCAGCCGCCCCGCGCCCCGTCTCCCCACGTACCTACATACTTCTTCTCAAATTCACCCGTCAGATGGCGTTTCACGAAGGTCGTTTTCCCAGTCCCGCCGTCGCCAACCAACACAAGCTGTTGGGGAAACGTTTCTGAAATGAGGCCCCCCCAAACGCGTACCCCCTTCCGGTCCCCAGAACCGCGGTGCTGCCGGGACTTTCTGGAACCCACTTCCCAGGAGGAACACAACTTCCACCATCCCTCCCGCGCCCTGCAAACAAAGGACCTCGGGGAAGGGGCCCCGCTCCATCCGCGTCTGCGTTTGGGGGGCACCGGAGGAGCTCCCGCAGCCGAGGCGCGCGGGCCGCCGACAAAGCCAGCAGCGCCCGCCCGCGGTCCTAGAGGGAGCCCGGGCAACAAAGGCGGGGCCGACGGGCCCCCCGCGTTCCGCGCCGACCGCCCG